CAAACATCACATTTGAATGGTTTATCTCCTGTATGTGTTCTCATGTGCAACCGAAGAGAATTTGGGTAAGAACAACACCATGCACAAACATCACATTTGTATGGTTTCTCTCCTGTATGTATCCTCATGTGAAGTTTTAAATAACCCGTTGCAGTAAAACATTTTCCACAAACATCACATTTATAAGGTTTATCAGTCTTATGAATTTTAATGTGATTACAAAGTTTTCTTGACATGTCAAAGCCGAGTCCACAAATACCACAATAGAAAATTTTCTTTTCATTGTGTGCTCTTATGTGAACATTAAAATGATTAGCTCTGATAAAACTCTTTTCACAAACATCACATTTAAAAGGTCTCTCTCCAGTATGTGTTCTCATGTGATCATTATAATGCAACAATTTGGAATAACTCTTTCTACAAACATCACATTTGTAAGGTTTTTTAGCCTTATGTATTTTGATGTGATCACAAAGTTTACTTTTCATATTAAAGCCTAGTCCACAAATACCGCAAGGTTTTTCTCCAGTATGTTTTTTTTCTTGTTGTTGTTTGATTCCTCTGGTTTCTGCCATTGTGAAGTTTATAGTCCGATTTGGACAAGATTTGGTTGTCTGATCATATCTGAAGCTTTGTTTATATCTTCTGTTGTTTACTTTGGGATGGATTTTGATAAAAACAGGAAGTGATGAATTTTACGGATTGACTCATGGATGATAGACAGGGCTATTAAAGAATTTAAATGTGGTCTGTTTAATAATGAATGAGCAGGTAAAATAATCCTCCAGAAAGCTTGTTAATTATCATATAGAAAAACAAAGGGAAAAAACGTTACATCCGCATTAATGAGGAAGCATATCATAATGAAAAGTGGCATCAAGTAATCAAAAGAGTAAGCATAACCTGACTCAAACCACATCCGCCTTTAACACTCAATACTACACACAAATCAGGAATGCGAAACAATACATCAATTGTAGAGCAATATAGAAATACCACTGTTAAAATAGTGTTCAATACATCAATTGTAGTGATATAGAAATACCACTGTTAAAATAGTGCTCAATACATCAATTGTAGAGTGATATAGAAATACCACTGTTAAAATAGTGCTCAATACATCAATTGAAGAGCAATATAGAAATACCACTGTTCAAAATAGTGCTCAATACATCAATTGTAGAGCAATATAGAAATACCACTGTTAAAATAGTGCTCAATACATAAATATTGTAGAGTGATATAGAAATACCACTGTTAAAATAGTGTTCAATACATCAATTGTAGAGCAATATAGAAATATCACTGTTAAAATAGTGTTCAATACATCAATTGTAGAGCAATATAGAAATACCACTGTTAAAATAGTGTTCAATACATCAATTGTAGAGCGATATAGAGATACCACTGTTAAAATAATGTTCAATACATCAATTGTAGAGCGATATAGAAATACCACTGTTAAAATAGTGCTCAATACATCAATATTGTAGAGTGATA